AAAATAATTTAGTTAAATAATTTTGTCATATATACATTACATAAATAAGTTATGTTTTTATGAATTTCATTAATAAAAACTATATAAAATAAATTTTATTAAATAATAAACATTTTCGTTATTAAATCATTTTGTAATATTTAAATAAATAATAAATTTGTAAAATAAATTAGTTAATATTTTAATTATTTCAATAAATAATTTAGTTATTAAATAATCTTGTCATATATATATATAGACATATTTGTAAATTAAATAATATATAAGTTAAGATTTTAGTTATTAAATGAATAATGTAGTTTTTACATAAATGTTTTGCGCTATATAACTTTTGTAGAAAATAAATATAAAATTTGTGATATATTAATACATAATATAATTAGAACTTAAATGATAAGTACCTATTTTAGCTACTAAAATGAACAACTAATAAATAATTTAGTTTAACATATATTCTTATATTTCTTTGGAAGTGTAGCACAGTAATACCATGTTGTTGTCACGTAACTCATTATTAATACACAACAATAACTACCGATGGCGAAAGCGGAGGTTTCTAATAATCCATAAACATCCTAACAAGCGGTGACCGAGTCTTTACCTTACAGTCGTTGCGCACGAACTTCATTCCGTGTCCCGGATAAACCGGAGCCGAGCAGAAATAACACTTCTCGATGCGCATTTCACTCGCACACGTGCCGCTGCGCTGCGACACCGAGGCGGAAGAGAGAACGCACGCTTCCGGTCCCGCGGCGTGACGTCATCACGCAGGCCACAGGCTGTAGCGCCACCGAGAGGCGCAGAGAGTCACTGCACATGTTTTTCCATCTAAAATATTAGGAAACCATTTCTACAAGTTATACAAGATTTAAAAAAATGCGAGTTATAAAGAAACGTTCTTCTGGTAATGTTAACGCAACGCTCAGCCAACCGTTTTTAATAATGAAACACTAGCTAAACTATTTCGTTGCTAATGTGTAGCAATTTGATTATTCTGTACTTATGATCAATATTTAAGGCAGCAATACTGAAGAAAAAACTGCGTTTATTTCGCTTCTGTTCAAATTATTCACAATTCTAAGTGACTGTGTAAAAGCATCATGAATGGCACAAAACAGAAATACATGCTTCTTTCCGGTATTTCTTTGTGTTTGAAATAAATAATATATAAATAAATATTTTAGTTATTAAAATAAATGATTATTAAATAATTAATTAATTAAATAAATAAATAATTTTGTAATATAAAAATAAATATTAGTAAAATTAATAATATATACGTTAATAATTTTGTTTTTAAAATAAATAATAAACAATTTAGTTATTAAATAAATAATTTTGTAATATTTAAATAATACATTTGTAAAATAAATGAGATAAAGTTAATATTTTAGTCATTGCAATAAATAATAAATAATTTAGTTATTAAATAGATTTGTGATAAGTAAATAAACTATATATTTGTACATTAAATAATTCATAAGTTAACATTTTAATTCTTTAAATAATTAAGAAATAGTTTAGTTATTAAATAATTTTGTATTATATAGAAATAAATAAGGATTCTGAAAATTAAACTATATGAGTTAATATTTAGTTATTAAAATAATTATTAATAATTTAGTTATTGAATAATTTTGTAATATAAAAATAAATATTTGTAAATAAAATAATATATACGTTAATATTTTTGTTATTAAAATAAATAAATAAATAAAATAATTAATACACATATTAAAATAAATAAACAATTTAGTTATTTAATAAATAAAAAATGTAATATTTAAATAAATATTACATTTGATATAATTTAATATTTTAGTTACTGAAATAAATAATTTAGTTTTTAAAGAAATACATTTGTAATATATAAATAATTAAGTTAATATTGCAATTATTAAAATAATTAAGCAATAGTCTCACACAAGTATATAAATTAAGTAGTAAATACATTTATTTTTTTAATTATTTAATTATTTATTAAATATGTTATTAGCCTACCTAACGGACATCCTGATTTAATCTCTGACATTAATTCATATACAATAACAAACCTTTCTAGTGTGACATCAAAACTATATCAGTCAAGAAAATTCAAGAGCCAAAGAAAACATTTTTTAAGAAATATTTTATTATATTGTGCATTGTTCTGACCACTTTTTGGCACGTAATCGAAGCAAACTGGTACAACACGCTCAACACGAGGGGCTTAAATAATAATACAAATTATAATAAATCAACAGGCAAATTAAACTGACGTTCCTGAGCGTCTGAAGAATAAAACACTTGATATTTCTTTGGCACATGCAGAGAGAAATGTGTTTGGAGTTAGCAAACGACTGAAATATAAGCCACATGCACGCATTATTAAAAACACTGATGAAAAAGACCAAGTATAATAATGAAGCGCTTCTCAGCCCTAATACAGTGTTTGTGATTAAAGTCTTCACGTTCAGGAGCTCATACGACTTTTATCTGAAGGTTTAAACAAAAAGCAAACGAATTACAAAATGTCAAGTCTACATCAGTCTTTGGCTTCTTATTTGCGTTCTGAAATGATGATTTCGTGTCACTTCAGTCGAAAAGGTTGATTCGAAACTGATTACGTTATAAAATCTTGATCACAGTTCAGTCACACTTCATCGAAATCACACCATCAGAAATCTTTCGTCTCCGGCCCAATCAAAGCAGCACACATCTCTTTGGATTCTAGCGTCCGTAAACATCTCAAACAGAAGAAACCCACAGTCTGAGCGAACAAAAGCTTGGCTACACCAAACATATACAGAAATATACAGCATTTGGGCATCATTGTATCATTTCTCATCGCACTCTTTGGATCAGACGTCTCATATATATTGCACACGATCCTCCCGTCATGATGCCGTCCACATCTTATAACGCTTTCAGAGTTTGGTGAACCCAAATCATCACTATTCTTTATTTACTTTTTTGGTTATTTTTCACTTATTCACCTTCCTCACGAAAACAAAACCTGAAAACACACAGAAAACCTTCTCCTCAGTTTGTATAAACCATGAGATCAGGATGAGTTTGTTTCTTCATCAGGTCTGGAGAAGTGTAGCATTGCATCAGTGTCTCAGCAATGGATGTGAATGGGTGCCGTCAGAACGAGAGCTGATAAAAACATCACAATAATCCACAGCACTCCAGTCCATCAGTTAACATCTGGAGAAGACAAAAGCTGAAACACATCCAGCATTAAAGGGGTCATAGGATGCGACATGCACTTTTACAAGTTGTTTGAACTGAAATGTGTGTTGGCAGTGTGCGTACACAACCACCCTATAATGATAAAAATCCACCCGGTGTTTTTTTTTTAATCTGGTTAAATGTTTTCCCCTTTCTCAAATCGAGCCGATCTCAGATGCCTGTCTGTGTGACGTCGAGAAAAGAAAAAATCTTTAAGTAAAATTAAAATGAGGACTATAAGTGAAAACTATAACAGTACCTCGATGATACTAAAATAACACGGTTTCATATATTTTCGGCTGAATGTATTATTTAAGACACATTCATGGTCTTTTTTTCTCATCAGTATTCTGATGTGTCACAATCAGGCTCATTATCATTAGCTAAAACTAAAACTATTAAACATTTTTGTTAATACAGCTGAAAAAATTTAAAATATAAATATTAGATGAAAGACTTAAACTAAACTAAAATTAGAAAAGTTGGAAATATTCAGATATTAGTATATTCATAGATATTTTGTAAATCTCCTACCGTAAATATATCAAAACTTAATTTTTGATTAGTAATATGCATTGCTAAGAACTTCATTTGGACAACTTTAAAGATGATTTTCTCAATATTTAGATTTTTTTGCACCCTCAGCTTTCAGATGATGTATAAATCTCATTTCACAAATTTGACCCTTATGACTGGTTTTGTGCTCCAGGGTCACAAATACAATACAATACAATACAATACAATAAAATAAAATTAAATAAAAAAAAATGTAAATATTAATTTAAGCCTAATCTATGTTAGTCATTTCAATTGCACATTGGTAAATAATATAATAATAAACAGACTCTTACTTTGGCATCAGTAAAGTGCGTCCTCGTCATCGGCAGCAGAACAGCTGCGTTCTCCACCTGCTGCTGATTGGCTGACGACGCAGCACTACGCATGACATCATTCCTCACCCATCCAATCATCTTTGAGGAAGCTGATTTCCTGCTGAGAGAAAACAATCACTTTAGATCCTGTGTCTTTTGTAACAGTGTGTTGCTGCAGACACAGAAGCCTCACTGTGTTCTGCTCTTGATGAGGAGGATGAAGATGCAGAGGATGATGCAGGACAGAGCGATACACACGCCAGCGGTGATGCCGCTCATGGACTTCTCATCGATGCGGCTCAGGCCGTCCATAAACGCTGCAGAAATGCATGCGTGAGCAAAAAAGGCATATAACATTTTTTGTTATAATTCAGCATTAGATAGGTAATTAATTTAAATGATATTTGATTTTCTAAAGTATTATAGAGTGGCGTGTACCTGTGTTCTCGGCGTGACGCGGGGTTTTCCCCAGGCGTGTCTTCCTCCTGACCTGCAGATCTACGGTGCTGGCGAACGGACCGTCACCCGCCTGGTTAGAGGCCGAGATCTTCACCAGGTAGACGTTACCTGACTCCAGCTTCTCCAGAAGAGCCATCGTGTTCGTGCCTGAAATGAGAAACCCATATATCTCAGTCATATCTCAGCATGAACTCTGAGCTGATCCACATTCATTTTATAGCTCTGTACTAGTGCTGTCAAACGATTAATAAAAGTTTTTCTTTATATAATATATGTGTGTGTACGGTGTATATTTATTATGTATATATAAATACACACACATACAGTATATGAATACTCAATAAATATACACAATACAATGTAAACAATTTTTTTATTTTGGATGCGATTAATCGTTTGATAGCACTACTCTACACTTTTAACTCATATGGAAACATCTGAGATGAAGTTGATAATTAAATTATATATTATTACATATTAAAATATAATAAAATATTATATAATTATAAATTATATAATAGTATATATATATATATACACATATATATACACTTTTTAATAAATATACATAAATGCCTTTTTAATTTATTGTTTTTATTGTACAATATATTAAGTCTCTTCAGCTATGAAAGAGCAGCAGCATTTTTATACTTATGTGTGTTTATATTTATTTCTCAAAAGAAATTTGGGGGAAAAAAATCCCCATCTGAGACCTAGTTGATAATGAAATTAAATATGGTATTAATATGTTTTAATATGAATTAAAACAATATGATACTTTAGTATTACAAATAATACCATATATATTATTTAATTTAATATTACAAATTATATAATATATTAAGTCTCTTCAGCTATGTACTTTTATTTCTCAAAACAAATTTTTGGGGGCGATGTCGAGAAGATTTTGATATGAAATAGCTAATGAAATACAATATAATGTGTAATAATAATGAGCAGTGCATGAAAGCAGTGCTAGTGTCTTGGCTTCAGAAGAAGAGGTTGTGTTCTGCTCACCTTCTCTCTGAAGCAGCTGCCAGTCTCCAGCGAGCCGCGAGCTCTGCGAGGCGTACAGCACGGTGTAGTGCGTGACGGATAGATCCGGCTGATCCGGCTGCTTCCACGACACCAGCGCCGTGTCGTCCTCCATCAGACTCGCTCGCACACACAGCGGCGGAGACCACGGGGCTGCCGCAGACATCAAG